TGACACTGAGTCTATCAGTGTGCACTGAGCGTCGCTGGCGGTGACAAAAGTGCCAGTTTTTTCGGTTTTGTCACTGACACCGCACATCCCTAAATGGGGGAGAATATGGACGAAATAAATGTTTGCTATATGTCCAAATATTATCACCTTTTTTTATATGTTCTATTTTTTTCTCTGCTTTATGATATTCATATTTTAGTTTTTCTTCTGAATATATGAGTGAATTGCAACTTTTTGGTACAATTGAATTTTAGCTGTAGTTTTTGAATAACTTTTTTTTCTGTTTGTTCAATTTCGACAAGTTTTTTACATTTCACTAATCCTTAAGTGCCCCATACCCACACAAAATTTCAGCTCTCTATCTCATACTATAGGTAACTTATGAAAGATACATTGTGAAAAAACGTCATTTTTCGATAACTTATACGAAGAGAAGGGAGTTTTTTGACTACAATAAAATAAAAGAAAAAGAATATAAATAGGCTAGCTTGTAGAACGTTCGACGCTCTATCGAAATGTGTTGTTCATTTAAATTTTATTCGTTCTTCATCCGCTCGCCTAACGTTCATATTGTTTGACAGACACTTGTACATTATTCTGTAGAGTGACGGAAATGCAATTCTAACTTCAGTTGATGATAGAGCTAATGGTCTTTAGATAATATAAAAAGAAAGAGGGCTCTTTACCTCAAAAATTGATGAAAAAAAAGTTCTTATTTATCAACTTTATTTCTAATCGAAAATAGCAGAACTTTTGAAAAACAACGTCATGATACTCACTTTGTAGAGTGACGATTTGAAAATTGTGCATTCGATAACTCTAACGGTATGTTCAATTTAGTTGAATTTTTTACAGTAGATACAAAACTAAAAGTTATACAAGTGATAAAAATTTTAGCTTTAAGTAATGTACCGTTCAAAAGAAGTTTACGATATACTGAAAAATGTAGAGGGTCGTTTTTTCAACAAGAATGTAGAGTGACGATTTCTATGCAAATATGTCCAGTTGAATATGCTCGCAAATAGTCTGTTCGGATATAATTAAACTCGGCAGAGAGCAGCAAGCAAATCCATGTATTATGAGATATATTTGACTACTAATTGTCTTTGTAATAATAATAGTATGACTCAAGTGTTTTTCTCTATGTGCAAGACATTTCATCAATGAATTTAGCAGGAATTGAACTATATATTGTATATCTTGCTTGATACTTGTTAAAGTGTTCGGAAAATTTTGCTGTGTACTACAGGCATAGAGTATCGTAAAATGCACTACTTAAAAGTTGTTTAGATTCACTTTCATTTTTTTGTGACAATTGTATCAAAAAGTTGCAATTCACTCATATTTTTCTTGTTTCTAAAACTTATAATAATCTCCCAGAAATCTTGTTTTTCTAAATTTTCTTTTCGTTTGACTTACTGATTTTGCTAGACTTACCAAAAAAAAGTGTCCAAGGGGAGCGAAATTTCTTTTATATTCTCATATTCATTGCATCTATCGCGCAAAGCTGAAAGAAACTCAGAAAAGATGTTGAAAAAAGTATTAAATTCAAGGGTGTAAACTAAGCAATTCCAATATGGATAAACTGCAAGAAGAAAAAATATGAATAATTTCCGGTTAGTTTTTCTAAAAGCTCTTTTGTCATCTGATATAGAAGGAGATACAAAGAGTACTGGATAGTGATCGGAAGGTCCTTCTTGTAACCTATTTACCTTTCATTTCTCTATATCTTTACCTATTCCAAAATCGATGATAGAATTTGATTTTTTTATAGGTTTAACTATTACAGTGCAGTACTTCCAATCCATTCTCATCCACTCATTCTTTCACTCTATTTCCACTAACGTTGTTCTTTACACAACTCCAATTTTCATATTTCGCATTAAAATCTCTAAAAATAAAGATTTCTTTCTCTTTGTGTTTATCAAACAAGTCTAAAGAAGGATTGCAGTTAGGTGGAATGTAAATAGCACCAATATAAATTTTTTCATTTAATATTTCAATTTCTAATAGAAGAAAGTTTTCTGATTCAGCTTTTACTGTAGTGTTAAATTTATTATGAACAAGATAAGCAACTCCTCCAAAAATATTAGTTCCTTTTTTTACTAAACCAATTAAAATTCGGAATGTGAGAGAGTTTACGTATCTGTTTTCCTACTTCGGTCAGAATGCACACATGAGGACAGTATGTAGAAAGAAGGAGATCAAGTTTCGAAAAGTGTGTAAACAGACTCTCGCAATTCCATAGAAGAATAGACAGATTTTCTGAAATATTCTGAGATCTCTCTTTACGCCAAATTCTACTTAATTCAGATACACATGCTCTTCTATTCCACTCACTTACAATAGAAAGCAAACAGTTTTTATCATTGGTATTTCCATTAAATTGGTTGATGATGTTATAATTCGGTTTAGGATCACAGTATTTGAAGTCTTTAATCAGCATTAGGATCTTTAAGCAAATTACCTAATCGGGCGTGGCCGCGCGTTACGGAATTTCATTTTTTCATATTGTGACACCTGTAGTTTCTCAAAAATCAAGGCAAACTTGCTAAAATTTTTATCGTAGATAGAGATGGCTGAGATCTATTATCAGTAAAAATTTTATCTATTTTTGTCTAGTCATAGTTGAGTTATTCAACAAATATTGACCGTTACGGAATTTCATAAAATGGAAATTTTTTTTAGGGTGATGCAGAAGTTAAGCATTTTACTACGTAACGAAACGACATACAAATAAATGGTCTATATAAAAGTTATTCAGTTTCCCATGAGCTTTCAAAATATCAATTCATTTCCTAGAAAGCATAGCTGTACCAAATCAAATAACTGTAAATACTGTCCGTTACGGAATTTCACTTCGTTACGGAATTTCATTATTTTTTGACTTTCTAACGGGGACGGTTAGGGACCTTACAGCTTTTAATTATCATGATGAAAACTCATCATTTCTCGTATCCGCGAATAGTACAGAGATAGTTCTATCGCGCAAGAATATCAGCTTCACGTTCAACGCAGAATGACATTAAAATTCTGCCTGTTTTTTGGACAAAAAATGAAATATAATGGGACTCAGAACGGATAGTTTTTTGGTGAAATTCGTCAAAAAATCCGTTTTCAGACACTTATTGGAGGAAAAATACGGTTTATATAACCAATCAACAACGTATCTCAGAAGTTGCCACGTGTTTCATAATTTGTGAGTAGTGAAATTTTGGATTTGGAGAGAGTTTTCTTTATTTTTAGTGCGTATAAACCTTCCTCATGGTAGGGTGACCGATGCGCGGCCATGCCGAATCCTTTATTTACTGTTTCATTTTGTTTATGAATTAATTATTGCAATGAGTTGATGTGTTTAGAAAAAGAAGATTCGGCTTCTTTTATAAATTCAGCTTGATTTGTTAATTGTTGCATATCATCATCCAAATTATTGTAATTGACTTTCATTTTTATTTTATTTATTGCATTACAAATTGTTGTTGTTGTTGTCATGCATGGAAAAAAATTATTTTTTTAATAGTATTAGTCAATGTCGTGATCATTTGATGTTGCTGTTGTTGTATGATCGCCATGTCTGATTTATTGAATCTATATGTTCTTTGTACTTTTCTTTATATCTTTGTTGATCTTCTTTATATTCTTTCTTCAATTCACTTAATTCATCATTAAATGATTTAATTAATTCGTTCATATTGTAGTTCATTGTTGTATTAGTTGTTCTTGATGAAGTAAGTAAAGGCCATTGATTATAATCATCTCTACAATTATGTTGTTGTTGCTGGTGATGATACATTGATTTATTCTGAATTACTTTTGTTTTATCATTTTGATTACGATATTCAGATGGAATAAATAGTTGAATCTTTTGAAGAAGTTTTTCAGGATGTTTTCTCAATTCATTTATTATTTGTTTACGGTAATTATTTAATAATGGACATTTATAATTTGTCGATAAATGTTCTGCTCCACAGTGATGACATTTAATAGGACATTCTTTATGTTCATCAATATTTGTACGATTACCACTACATCGATGACAGATATCAAATGATGAATTTTGACATACTTTTTTCGTATGTCCTAGTTGATTACATCGTCCACAAATCAGAATTTGTGGTGCTGGAAGGAATTCACTAACATCATATAGTTGACCCATCAAATTAACCGTTTTATTACTTAACAATGTATCATAATCTTTTTTATCTAAAAGTCCGATCTTAACATTTCTTGTTCTTTCATTATAAATATCATTCATTGTGGAGATTCAACGTATACTTTTATAATTAATACACAATTCATCTTCAATATTTGGATCGGTAATTATATTTTTTATCTATTTTAAAATGATTGTGTGTAGCGGAGGTAAATGTGTTGTTGATATTGGATTAATATTAATATTAATTAATTCACTTGGATACCTTTCTTTCTTACATAAATACACGTATAATTCTGTTGTTTTAATAATCAATTGAATATTTCCTTCAAAATCAATCCACCATGTATCAACTAAAATTGGTTTTGAAAAAGAGAGATTTTCATATAAAAAATCATTCCTAATATATTTTAACAATTCATTAACTAATTTTTCATCTTGTTTTTTATCATTTGATTTTGGTTCACATTCTAGTTTGAAAGGTGGATATTGATAATCTGCAGCATAGTTCAATGCATAGTTTGTTACTGTAATATTGTTATTGTTCATTTTACATTCGCTTTGCTTATTATTATTTGTACTTGATAATTGTAGTTTTTTACGCTAATGAGATGGATTGGTAAATGTTCTAGTTAAATTTAAATTTAAATTAAATTGATCATTCATATCGTTCGATTTCTTTTTTTGTTTACGATTTGAAATTATGTTCCACTCAGAAGCATTAATATGACTATTCAATTCTTCATCATCTGAATTTCTTGAATGTTCACTCGTTGAAGGTCTATTTAATGAACTATTTATATTGACATTTTGCTTAATATTTACCTCTAATTGATTAATTGTTTCTTGTAATTCATCACCATTGCATATACGATGTTTCTGATTACTTGTCATGTTATGATAGGATTCATAATTCATATTTGTAATTAATTTTAAATTTTGTATATGTTGACTCTAAATTTTGTCCTTAAATGCATTGGACAGAAAAAGAAAATGACAACATGTAAAGAGATAAAGAAGAGAATGAGATGCTTTTTGGAATTCTTGATTATTTTTCTGTCGAAATACTGTACATATACCCCTTCCCTTCAGCGATGAGCTACGAGATATTCAGCGCAACACAACAGTGTTACATCACATTCTGTCTAGTGTTTGGCGTTACCGCACAAATCAAACACAGTATCACAGTACAAAGAAGAGTACTCAATCGATTTATCTACGTTCAAATACAGAATAAAAACAGAATTGAGAGGCGAAGAGGTTCACAATAAGGATGTCGCATTGGTGGACGACACGTTTCTACATTTCCAAAGTAGTTATTCGTAGATTTTTCATCAAGTTCAACGTGCCGATAATCACGCCGTTGATTTGGCATTACACAAACTCGGCTATTGTCTGTTGCGGCCTCATCCAGCTCTAAATGTTGTTTCTGCTGATGCGAAGTTGACCACACTGATTGCGAAGCTTGCATCCTATTGTAATATGTGTTCACTTGCTTTTTTACGTTTCACTGTATCAGTTATGATACTGCATTCGGAAAAAGAACATTGTCAAGCAAACATCCGAACACACAGCAAAAGGACAGACCCACATGTCTCCTCCTTTATTAGTAGCCGACAGACGGCGAAAACCAATCCACCTAAACTGATGAGTCATTTGATAAGACATGTTGCCTTTCTCGATTCCACTAGAGTCGCAAAACAGATTGCGCTAGTCCTTTACTTTCATCATGAAAATAGCTTCAGGTTAGGATTCCAATACCACTGAGTGAGATGGGCAAAACAAGTGCAAAGACATGAACTTGGTTGAGTGCTTTGAAAGCAAATTAGACTCAATGATGTTTCACTTAGGCTTCATCTAAGCATTTCGATTTTAGTTGCATCTGATGGCTAATCACGCGTCTGAAGGACATGCATTTTATGTCATCGAAGATAAAAAGAAACACAAACTCTTTGCTGAAGAAGTACAAGTGTCAATGAAGACAATCAAATTAATTATCAGGAAACGCCTTTCCGTTTTCTATAAGTATGAACTCATTTACAATGGGTCGGTCTTAAAGGATGAAATGCAAGTCATAGATCTCTGCTCAACTATCACCAATGACGTATGCGCTAATACAGATACGACTGGGTCTCTTTTCGCCGAGTCATCCACAAAGCTGCCAACTTTTCACGTAAATAAGCTTCGGTTTCAGTCGTCTGAAAAAAATAATTCTGAAGAAAATGTGGGTTCCACTAGCCGCAGTCTGCCGCATGATTGTAAGAAATCATCAACCCCTGCACCTGCTCTACATCACCAAGTGAACCCTTCGCTCTCTCAACAGACACCACGAAATTTGACAAAACGTACGAAAATCGTTTCTGAGGATGACGCGACAGACGTTGAACAAAGACACACAGCTAATACTAGCAGACCTGGTAGCTCACTATCTCCGCTATCAAATGTAGAGGATCCCTTCGAGAGGAAAAATATCCATCGAGCTTCAACTTTTCTTCGATCAGAACCTTATTGTGGATTTTCAACATCCATTGAGTTGAACAAGAGTGCCAATCTAAAAGATGAGGATCTTCATGAAAGTGGATCCATCGTGAAATTTCAGGACATAGTGTTCAACCCATTCGAAGAATATCGTGAAATGAATGCGTTTCCAAATCAATTACGTGACAGACAGCAGTCTCCCGATATTTCGTCTCTTGATTCACCGCCTATATCGAAACAATCAAATTCATTAAGGACTAGATCACTGTCAACTTCGGATCAATCAAGTGATAGAGAGCAGTCTTCTGATATTCCTCATGGTAGTTCACCGCCTATATCGAGGCGATTGAATTTAGTAAGGAACAGATCACCATGGACTTCGGAAGGCAACAAGAATAATGAAGGTGTGCCAATTGATCATAGTTCGAAAGCTGGCATAACTTATCCGCGTAATAGATCTCAATCCACTATTGCAACGACATCTGC